TCACAGAAGCTCTTACTAATGTGAAAGCGTTCCTTCAAAAACTTTAAAAAAAAACCAAAACAGCATAATTAATATTTTTTTCTGCATCAGCTCTCATACAAAGTTACTGAGGAAACTTTGCTCCATTTCATCTTCGGCTAGATGACTTGAGGCCATTTGAAATATCAGACAGTTACTCCCCAGTGTCCACAGATAGGCTGCCCAGCACGGAGCTTAGTCACTTTTGTGCAGTAGATAATCAAAAGATTTTCTACTGTCTTTTCTCCATCTGTCACAGCATTCAAGGAAGGGCATTGTTTCAAGAGACAGTTCAGAAATCTCCAGTGATTTCCTATTTTTCTGCTACTCTTTAAAAACAAAAGCCACTGACACAAAGGAAATGTAAGCAACACATTCTGAAACATCAGAACAGAAAAGTCACTTAGTTGGAAAATATGACAACAGCAGCAGCACGTCTCTTTTCCACAGGAAGACGTTTCTCAATTAATGCCCAGCACACTTTAGTAATCATGAAGTGAACACTGGATTCCAGGCACAGGCTGATAATTTTGCTGGGAACCCTGCCAGCTGTCCAGTGGGTTCACATGTGCTCATATAATTCAATGCGACTGTAGCTCAGTCTGCTCCACATACTTTCTGAGTGTCTTTGTTCTACACTAAATACCTGAGCCTAGTCTTTGACAAGTCTTTCACGTTTTATCACTTGTTCAGCTACTGGGGGCTTATTGTCACATATTTCTTCCCATTTCCACAAAGCCATGGGTGGAATTCTCTCACAACTCAAACAGTTGCAAGTAACTTTTGAGATTCTCAAGAAGCCTGCTGGAAAACAGGTATAAGAAGTTTCCCTGCCACTGTCTCTGCCTCGAGTCCCCCAAAATGTTTCTGTAATTTGGCATCTTTTCCTGCCCAAAGATGGGTGCCACATTTAACCCAGAAATCCTGATGGCATCCTGTTCTAAGATGGAAGGTGTACATATGGGAACACATCCCTGCCACTAGGTTTGTATGGGAGGTCTCCCACAACTATGCTGGGCCTGACAGCATCCTTACAAGCTACTTCTTGACAGATTGTGTTGCACCTGTTAAAGGCAAAGAACTGGTAGGGATGTTGAGATGGCCTTAAGCCAACCCTGGGCATTGTCCTAGCCCTGGGCAACTGATACCATTTAGAAACCTTGGAAACCTAAGTCAGAGCCCTGTGGGCTGCAGTGTTGCCTGGAGTCCCCACAGCAACCCCCTCCAATACAGCACTGGCAGCTACACCCAGTGGATGCCTCTAAAGCCAGCCTCCCTGTTATTTTCCACCCTGCCACACTTATGCAGCCAGACACAGGGCTCTAGGACACCTTCATGCTGCTGTGACTTTTACCCTGTGGAAAAAAGTCCTGATCCAGAGCAAAGGTCTTCACTGTAGAAAGTGTCTAGGCCTTTGGTTGTGAAGACAGACTTCTGTGTTTGAACAGAAGGAAGGAGCACGATCCCCAGGTGATTGCATGGGCAAGACAGAAACACTGACTCTGAGATCTGTTAACCACCCCATTTTGCCTCAGTGCAGCATTGGTACAGAAGGCTCTGCACCATTGAAATGTTACTGCATGCATGTTAGTGTTAATGGCCTGAGACCCAGAGCTGGAGAAAGACACCAACCCAGACATAGTGGGGATCACTGAAATGTGGTGG